GTTTTTCACATCAGAAGCTGCAAAAGCCTCTTTGGGCTCCACAACTTTGACAATCACAGTCGCTGTTGCTGAGAGTGAAACGTTCCCATTGTCTTTGACCAGTATGAGCAGTTTATGCTGGGCCTCGTCTGTTTCTGTGAATGAGCGAAGGGTCCTTATCTGTCCTGTATAGCGGTCCAAACTAAAGAGACTGTGGTCACTAACTTCCTGCAGTGAAAATAATAACCAGCCGTTGTATCCTATATCTGCGTCATAGGCTCTGACTTTAGTCACCAAATGACCTGCGTTCACATTACGGGGAATCTCTTCCACACCCTCAGCAGAACCGTTAGCGCTGACTGGATATAAGATCACTGGAACGTTGTCGTTCTGATCCAGAATAAACACGTTCACTGTCACGTTACTGCTAAGTGGTGGAGTCCCTGAATCTGTTGCAAGTATGTGGAACTGAAACTTTTTTAATAATTCAAAGTCAAAACTTCTGAGAGCACTAATTACGCCTGTTTCAGAATTTATATTAACGAATGAGGTCATGTCGCTTTGTGTCTGATCGCCTCTTATAATATGATACATAATATGAGCATTTTCATTTTTGTCTTTGTCAGTGGCGCTCACAGAAAATATGGACTGTCCAGGTGGATTATTTTCAAACAGGTAAATCTCAAGTGGGCTTTGGGGGAATTGCGGTGTATTATCGTTGACATCGGACACCTCTATGCTCAGAGATTTTGAAGCTGAAAGAGCTGGGTTGCCTAAATCAGTAGCTGTTACTGTGATGTCATAATGGGACGCAGCCTCCCGGTCCAAACTCTCTTTGGTTACTAGAGAATACATGTTCTGCTGAACATATGGTTTCAGCTCAAACGGTACATTCTTTGACAAGCTGCAAACAACTTTACCATTAATCCCTGAATCTTTGTCTGTTATGCTAATAAGAGAAATGACTGTCCCTGGCTTTGAGTCTTCAGAAACAATATTAGAAAGCGACGTTACTTCAATCTCAGGTTCATTATCGTTGACATCAATAATCTTAATTACAACTCTGCAGTCGGTATCCATTGGAGGGCGTCCCTTATCTGATGCCATGATGTTCAGACTAAAAATTTCGTTCTCTTCAAAATCGATTTTGCCTTTGACACGTATTTCGCCTGTCACTTTATCCAAATCAAAAAAATAATGTACTTTTCGCTGCACGTTTCTACCGTAAGTATATTCAACTTCTCCATTATCGCCCTCATCTGGGTCAGTTGCATTAACAAATGTTACAGTAAAACCGGGAGAGGCGTTTTCTTTTAAAGAAATAGTGTATGTGTCTCTGTTGCATACTGGACGGTTGTCGTTAACATCGAGGACCGAGACAGTTATATTTAAAGAGGCTGATTTTGGTGGATTTCCACCATCGATGGCAATAAATGTTAAGACGTGTTTCTCTTGACTTTCCCGGTCTAAGGGTTTTTGCAAAAGCAGAAAAGGACTTTTATCTCCGTATTCACTGTCTCTTACCTCTATGTCAAAATGATCATTTTGTCCGAGGCGATAGGACCGAACAGAATTAACCCCAACATCTAAATCTCTTGCGGTTGGAAGACCAAAGCGAGTGCCCGTTGAAGTGTTTTCCGCTATTTTAATCTGCAAGTCTTTTTCTGGGAAAGACGGGAAGTGATCATTAACATCTGTTATTTCAACCTCAACATAGTGAACTTCGAGTGGATTTTCAACTGCAATCTTTAAGTTTAGCAAACATGCGCCATTGCCATCACAAATCTCCTCTCTGTCGATTTTCTTATGAACGTACAAGATGCCATTGTTCTGATTTACCTGGAAAAAGCTGTCCTTAGATCCAGAAACAATACGGAATCGTCTGTGCTCTAACGAACTGATATCAAGACCGAGATCTTTAGCGATATTTCCCACTTGTGATCCCTCTTTCACTTCCTCCGGAATAGAATATCTGATCTGTGCTGAAACAGGCTGTTCACAATGCATCATCAAACACAAAGCAATCCAGCAGTATCCCCATCTGCGCCTTTGTCCATCCTTATCCATCGCGAGTGATTACAGCAAGAGCATTCCAGAACCAGATATGTATTATCCGTGATTATTCTCAACAGGATAAACCGTGTAGTACCAAAAATCAGGAAATAGTTCAAATTATGTCTTATGTCGCATCGTCAGCCCACCGTAAGCACTATAGTTTTCTTCGGCTCACAGTGGCTCCTGAAATGTACAGAACAATGTAGCAATGCGCATGTCACCATCTAGGGCAGGGTATAATCTCTCCATCATATCATAGAGCAATACTGACACCGAGCGGTCTACTGTTCATTTCAAACAACTAATCTCTTAAATATTATGAACAATTCTGGAGGATTTAGCAACTCTGTATCATCCCCTGTTGAACCCATTACGAAGGTCACTTAATGTGAAAATCCCATTAAAAAATTGAATGGTACCATAGCTGAAAAAAATAGCAGTTCAATCGAATCATGGGCATAAATACTTTAAAATTATTTATAAAGCAAAGACAAAAATGCGTGATTGCATCTGAAAAAAAAAAATCTAGAAATGATGGGATTTAAGATTGCATGTTTTCAGTCATTTCTGACCATTGACAGTGTAACTTTATTTCTTAACTACGAAATGCAAATAAATAAATAAATAGATAAAAATCGCCGACGCAGTGAACAACTTTCTGCACGTTTAGGATATGTACGATCAGACGACAAAAGCTGTCAAACAAAGTATGCTACTGAACACGATTTTGTGCTGTGAGGTCATTACTATGTAACTGCATACTGCATATACAGTATAATAATGTCAAAGCAAAATGATAGCTGTAATTGCAATTTATCTGTTATTCTTACCTCTCCAGAATCTCTCCTCCTGCGATCTGGGATCACTAGAGTATTTCCATTACTTCCTGGGACTATAGTAGAGCCGATACTCATTCTGGGTCCAACTAACATGTACCGTTTGTCTCCAGATCTGTACTGGATGCTGTGACACAGAGTCCCGTCGTAATTTGCACCTTGTAAATACTTGGACGAATAGTCTGTCGATTGAGAGGACTGCATTGCAATCAACACGATGATGCTGATGACAAAAAGCACTGAAACCGAGCCCAAAGTGATGATCAAATAAAATGTCACGTTGTTTTCCTCCTCGTCTCTTACTACGTTTTTCACATCAGAAGCTGCAAAAGCCTCTTTGGGCTCCACAACTTTGACAATCACAGTCGCTGTTGCTGAGAGTGAAACGTTCCCATTGTCTTTGACCAGTATGAGCAGTTTATGCTGGGCCTCGTCTGTTTCTGTGAATGAGCGAAGGGTCCTTATCTGTCCTGTATAGCGGTCCAAACTAAAGAGACTGTGGTCACTAACTTCCTGCAGTGAAAATAATAACCAGCCGTTGTATCCTATATCTGCGTCATAGGCTCTGACTTTAGTCACCAAATGACCTGCGTTCACATTACGGGGAATCTCTTCCACACCCTCAGCAGAACCGTTAGCGCTGACTGGATATAAGATCACTGGAACGTTGTCGTTCTGATCCAGAATAAACACGTTCACTGTCACGTTACTGCTCAGAGATGGAGTTCCAGAGTCTGTAGCGAGAACATGGAACTGGAACGTTTTAGAAGTTTCAAAGTCAAATCTCTTTAACGAATAAACAACACCTGTCTCGGAATTTATATTCAAAAAAGATGACAAATCATTCTGTGTCCCATCATCTCTAGTTATATGATACAATATGACGGCATTTTCAGCAGTGTCTCTATCAAAGGCGCTTACAGAAATGATGGACGAACCGGCTGCATTATTTTCCATTAAGTAGAGGTGTAAAGGATTTATTAAAAATTCCGGAGCATTATCATTCACATCAGAAATCTGAACGCTTAGAGTGGTCGATGCAGTCAAAGACGGCTGTCCTAAATCCGATGCTGTTATTGTAATGTCGTACTGTGAACTCGTTTCTCTATCTAACCAATATTTTGTCACTAAAGAGTACATATTGTCTTTGAAAGAAGGCTTTAGCTCAAAGGGAATATTTTTGTTTATCTGACAAATCACTTTACCATTGATCCCTGCGTCTTTATCAGTCACGCTTATGAGATAAATGACCGTTCCAGGCTTGGAATCTTCAGGGATGTTCTTATAAAGTGATGTAATCTCAATCTCTGGCTGGTTGTCATTCACATCAATAATCTTAATAACAACTCTACAATTTGCAGACATTGGTGGATGTCCCTTATCTGATGCCTGAATACTGAGTTTATAAACCTCTGCATCTTCAAAATCAACTTTCCCCTTTACACGTATTTCACCTGTGTCCTGATCAAGCTCAAAAACCTCATGCACTTTGGTATTTAACGTTGCAAAACTGTATTCAATATCACTGTTTGTGCCCTCGTCCATATCAGTTGCATTTACACGGATAACCACAGTGCCAGTAATACAGTTCTCCTGTAATGTCACAGAATATGTCTCTCGACTAAATACAGGGTGATTATCATTTATATCTAGAATGGTAATTGTAATGTTAAGAATGCCAGATCTCGGAGGATTCCCTCCGTCAACTGCTGTTAAAATCAACTTGTATGTAGTTGTAATCTCCCTATCAACAGCCTTCTTCAGTACTAAAAATGGTATTTTATCCTCATCACTCTCTCTAAATCGAATTTCAAAATGATCATTAGGACTTAATTTATAGAAACGGATCGAATTCGTTTCAGAATCTGGATCACCGGCCGCCTGTAACTGATAAGTAGCGCCAGGCAGTGTATTTTCATAAATTCTCAGGCGCTGCTCTTTTTCAGGAAAACTAGGAGAATGATCGTTCATATCTGATATTTCTACCTCCACATAATGTATCTCGAGAGGATTTTCAATAACGGTTTTTAAATTGACCATGCAAAAACCGCTTCCAGCACACACAGACTCCCTGTCGAGTTTCTTATGAACGTACAAAACGCCATTTTCCTGATTTATCTGAAAAAGCTCCTCCTTAGATCCAGAAACGATTCGAAACTGCCTGTCCACCAAGCTACTTACTTCAAGACCCAAACATTTCAAACAACTAATCTCTTAAATATTATGAATAATTCTGAAGGGTTTAGCAACTCTGTATCGTGCACACACAGTAAAGCGTTACATCCCCTGTCGAACCCATTACAAGAGTCACTTAAGTGAAAATACCATTATAAAACTGAATATCACTATAACTAAAAATGTAGCAATTTAAACGGATCATGAACATAAATAAATTTAAAGTACGCATATAGCGAAGACAAAAATGCGTGATTTCGTAAGAATGCCCATAAAAATAAGATAAAATAATCAGTATAAAATGCACATCTGAAAAAAGCAAAAAAAAAAAAAAAAGAAAGAATGAGATTTCAGTTTACATGTATATTTTCAGTAATTTGCAACCAATTACATTTTTAATGCTTTCATAAAATAATTAAAAAAAAGAATTTCAGCACGAACGAAGTGACCAGCTCCCTGCAATACGATCAGACAGTAAAAGCTGTCAAACAAAGTAGGCTACTGAACAATATTTTGTGCTGTGAAATCATAACTAATTAAAGACATAACATATTCCATAAATTAAAACTATAATGTATAACAATATCAAAGAAAAATGTTAGCTGTAATTAGTATGAACCTGTTATTCTTACCTCTCCAGAATCTCTCCTCCTGCGATCTGGGATCACTAGAGTATTTCCATTACTGCCCGGGACTATAGTAGAGCCGATACTCATTCTGGGTCCAACTAACATGTACCGTTAATCTGTAGCGAGAACATGGAACTGGAAGGTTTTAACAGTTTCAAAGTCAAAGCTCTTTAGCGTGTGAATAACACCAGTCTCAGAATTTATATTCATGGCAGATGCCATATCGTTCTGTGTCCGACCACCTCTGATGATATGATAAGTTATGGCAGCATGTTCATTAATATCTCTGTCTGATGCACTGACAGAAAATATAGAAGCGCCTAGAGGGTTATTTTCAGTTAAATAAAGCTCTAGAGAATTTGACGAAAATTCTGGGATATTATCATTTACATCTGACACCTGTAAAAATATAGTTTTATACGCTGCCAGAGAAGGGTTACCTAAATCTGTTGCTGTTATTTTGATATTGTATTCAGACTCTAGCTCTCGGTCTAAGCGTTCTTTTGTTACAAGGGAATACATGTTATCTTGAACAGACGGTTTTAACTCAAATGGCACACTGTCAGAAAGGCAACACACAACTTTTCCATTGATCCCAGAATCTTTATCACTTACACTTATGAGAGAAATAACAGTTCCAATTTTTGCGTCCTCCGAAACTACATTTGAAAGAAATGTTACTTGTATTTCTGGTTTATTGTCATTTACATCTTCAACTTTAATGATGAGCTGACAATCCGTGTTAGTAGGAGGAATCCCTTTGTCTGATGCCCTTATTATCAAACTGTAGATTTCATTTTCTTCAAAGTCAATTAAGCCTCTAACTCGTATTTCACCAGTCGTCCGATCTAATTGAAATATTTCACGTATTTTTGGTTTCATGTTTCTACCGTATGTATATTCTACTTCACCATTTAGACCACTATCCGCATCACTTGCATTTATAAATATCACCACAGTGTCAATAATTGCATTTTCACGCAGTGTTATCGTTAAGGTATCGCTATTGCATATGGGTCGGTTATCATTTACATCCAGAACAAAGACAGTGATATTAAGAGTGCCCGATTTTGGTGGATTTCCGCCATCTACTGCAGTTAGTAGCAACCTGTGTATTTCAGTGATTTCCCTGTCTAATGGTTTCTGTAATATTAAGAAAGGTGTTTTATCTCCGTATACACTATCTTTAATTTCCAAATCAAAATGCGCATTCTTACTCAGCTGGTAATGTCGAACTGAATTAACTCCCATATCCAGATCTCGAGCAGTTTGAAGTTCAAATCGTGTTCCAGTAACAGTGTTTTCCCAAATCTCTAGATAGAAGTCTTTATCGTGGAAAGAAGGAGAGTGATCATTTACATCTGTGATTTCAACCTCCACATAATGGACCTCGAGGGGTTTTTCGACAACTATTTTCAAATTAATCAAGCAGGCGCTATTTCCATCACACACCTCATCTCTATCAATGTGCTTATCCACATACAAGATGCCATTGTTCTGATTTACCTGGAAAAGAGCGTCATTAGATCCAGACACAATACGAAACCGTCTGTCCGCCAATGTACTGACATCAAGACCCAAATCATTAGCACAATTTCCGACGACAGATCCCACTTTCACCTCTTCTGGAACAGAATATCTAATCTGCACTGAAACCTGCTGTCCAAAGCACACAAGCAAAGAGAAACACAGAAAAATCCACCAGCGCTCCCATCCGCGCCTTTGTCCTCTGGCTTCCATTGCGACCGTTCACCGCAACGTTATTCCAAAGATCAGTATATTCTGGATGATTAGATGCCACAATATAATGTTAGATACATCATGCGAAACAAAATGAATTCACTGTTAATACAGTTAGCACAGCCTGTTACCGTTATACTGTTCATCAGCTCGCAAATGTTTCCTCACAAATGTGAGGAACAATACAGCCCGTTTCGCATCATCATCAAGGGCTGGACTTAATCTCCTATACAAATACTGGAGTAACAGTGACATCGTGTGGTCTACAGGAAGACAAATCCTCAAAAGTTTTTCATTAAGCACATAATGTATAAAACCACGTAAAATAATTGCATTCAGTGTCCCACTTACCTACGTGCTACATAATTTCATAAAGTGCATAGATATCACCCAAAAAAACTCGTGCAGACGTGTGTGACAGCACAATAAAGCCACGTTTAATTCACTAGAAATCCAGTCGACTCTTAAAGGGGTCATATGATGCGATTTCAATTTTTCCTTTCTCTTTGGAGTGTTACAAGCTCTTGGTGCATAAAGAAGATCTGTAAAGTTGCAAAGACTAAAGTCTCAAACCCAAAGAGATATTCTTTATAAAAGTTAAGAGTCAGCCACACCTACCTAAAACATCGTGTTCCAGTAACAGTGTTTTCCCAAATCTCTAGATAGAAGTCTTTATCGTGGAAAGAAGGAGAGTGATCATTTACATCTGTGATTTCAACCTCCACATAATGGACCTCGAGGGGTTTTTCGACAACTATTTTCAAATTAATCAAGCAGGCGCTATTTCCATCACACACCTCATCTCTATCAATGTGCTTATCCACATACAAGATGCCATTGTTCTGATTTACCTGGAAAAGAGCGTCATTAGATCCAGACACAATACGAAACCGTCTGTCCGCCAATGTACTGACATCAAGACCCAAATCATTAGCACAATTTCCGACGACAGATCCCACTTTCACCTCTTCTGGAACAGAATATCTAATCTGCACTGAAACCTGCTGTCCAAAGCACACAAGCAAAGAGAAACACAGAAAAATCCACCAGCGCTCCCATCCGCGCCTTTGTCCTCTGGCTTCCATTGCGACCGTTCACCGCAACGTTATTCCAAAGATCAGTATATTCTGGATGATTAGATGCCACAATATAATGTTAGATACATCATGCGAAACAAAATGAATTCACTGTTAATACAGTTAGCACAGCCTGTTACCGTTATACTGTTCATCAGCTCGCAAATGTTTCCTCACAAATGTGAGGAACAATACAGCCCGTTTCGCATCATCATCAAGGGCTGGACTTAATCTCCTATACAAATACTGGAGTAACAGTGACATCGTGTGGTCTACAGGAAGACAAATCCTCAAAAGTTTTTCATTAAGCACATAATGTATAAAACCACGTAAAATAATTGCATTCAGTGTCCCACTTACCTACGTGCTACATAATTTCATAAAGTGCATAGATATCACCCAAAAAAACTCGTGCAGACGTGTGTGACAGCACAATAAAGCCACGTTTAATTCACTAGAAATCCAGTCGACTCTTAAAGGGGTCATATGATGCGATTTCAATTTTTCCTTTCTCTTTGGAGTGTTACAAGCTCTTGGTGCATAAAGAAGATCTGTAAAGTTGCAAAGACTAAAGTCTCAAACCCAAAGAGATATTCTTTATAAAAGTTAAGAGTCAGCCACACCTACCTAAAACGGCCCGTTCTAACACGCCCCCACATACCTACGTCACGATCTGGGAAGATTTGCATAACGCCGCCCAAATGTTCACACAAAGAAAGAAGGCGTAACTTTTATTCTCGCTGTAGTTTTGTTGACGCTGCAGCCATGTCCTGAAGACGCTGTGTGCTTCGTTGTGAAAGCGAAACTACTTTGTTTGGTCTTCCAAAAGAGGACGATAAAAGGACGAAAAATCGATGCGTTTCAGAAAGGCGGGGCATAGAGGATAAACAATAATGTACAGTATGTGGAAAATAATGTGTTTTTTTAACTTTAACCCGCATAAACACATTTCATTACACCAAATACACAAAATAATGTTCTTTTTAACAGCATCATATGACCCCTTTAAGAAAACCGCAACTAATTTCAGCACCAGCGCAGCGGACAGCTCCCTCTACGCTGTCGCTAATTGGAACAACAGCAAACATTTAGACATCTGGTAAAGCATGCACATTGTACTTTTTTGCAAAGCAAAACAATTGTCAGAAATTCTTAACTTGCAGTTAGCTCATCAATTTTATGAGAAACATATTTTGTCGTCTGTCTGTGAAGCTGTACGAGTTAGTAATTGCATACAAAGAAAAATAAATCGCCATTCTTACCTCTCCAGAATCTCTCCTCCTGCGATCTGGGATCACCTTTGCAACAACTTGGAACTGAAACTTTCTAATTACTTCAAAATCAAAGCGGGTTAAGGCGTAAACAACTCCCGTTTCAGAGTTAATGTTCAGGAAAGAGGCCATATCCTTTTGTGCAGCGCCCCCTCTAATAATATAATAAGTAATCATTGCATTTTCATTTAAATCTTTATCGAATGCGCTCACAGACATTACGGAGGCACCAGGTGCGTTATTTTCTACTAAGTACAATTCAAGCGGATCTTGAGAAAATTCAGGACTGTTATCGTTAACATCTGAGACCTGAACGCTCAGAGATTTAAAAGAAGATAACGAAGGTTTTCCTAAATCAGTGACTGTTATTGTTATGTCATAATGGGACACAAGTTCTCGATCTAATTTTCCTTTAGTTACAAGGGAATAAATATTCTCTTGAACTGATGGTTTCAGCTCAAAGGGAACATTATCAGAAACACTTAGAATTATCTTTCCATTTATACCGGAGTCTTTGTCACTGATGCTAATCAATGAAATTACAGTCCCAGGTTTAGAATCCTCGGAAACTATATTGGAAAGAGACGTGAGGTCTATTTCAGGAGCGTTATCATTTATATCTGCTACTTTAATAATAACGACGGATTCTGCTGCTAAGGGTGGTTGGCCTTTATCAGATGCTTGTACGTCTAACTTGTACAATTCTGTTTCCTCAAAGTCCAGCACACCTTTAATCTGAATTTCTCCTGTTGCACTATCGAGTATAAACAGATTTTGCACTTTACGCTTCAGGTTTCTTCCAAAGGCGTATTCTACAACACCATTTAAACCTTCGTCCAAGTCAGTTGCATTAAGTTTTACCAAAACCGTACCGACAGCAGCATTTTCTTTTACCATTACAGAATAGGGGTCTTGACTGAACACAGGACGGTTATCATTAACATCAAGGACAGTAACAATTATGTTAAGATTTCCTGACCGTTGTGGATTTCCACCATCGATTGCAGTTAGTATTAATCTATGTTCTGCGGCGTTTTCACGGTCAAGTGCTTTCTTTAAAACTAAAAGCGGTATTTTTTCGTCATGTCTGTCCTTAGTTTCAACGTCGAAATACTCATTATGACTCAGTTTATACGACCGGACATTATTCACAGTCGTATCAGCATCTCGTGCTGTCTGTATTTGGAAACGCGTCCCTGTGGGTGTGTGTTCCGCAATCTCAAAATGCTCCTCCTCTTCTGTGAAGGTGGGTGAATTATCATTAACATCAGTTACCTCCACTCCAACATAATGAATTTCCAAGGGATCTTCGACCACCATTTTCAGATTAATCAAGCATGCGCCATTTCCATCACACAGCTCCTCTCTGTCAATTTTCTTATGAACATATAAGACGCCATTGTTTTGATTTACCTCAAAAAGAGCGTCCTTTGATCCAGACACAATACGGAATCTCCTGTTTACTAAAGTGCTGACATCAAGGCCAAGATCCTTAGCAATATGTCCTACGACGGATCCTTCTTTCAATTCTTCTGGAATAGAATATCTTATCTGCGCTGAAACTTGCTGTCCAAAACACAGAAGCAAGGAGAAACACAAAGCAATCCACCAATACGCCCATTTGCGCCTTTGTCCTCCGGCTTCCATGACAGAACAATTACTGTGAGACTGCCAGAAATATATCCTCGGCGATTACAAACAGCAATGTACAATTTATCTGCGTAATACAATACTATTTAACTGAAAACACACGGAGAACAGATCGCATACTTAAACGCCATTTCGGATCGTACCATCCAGGATAAGGAGGACAATACAAGCCTACGCGTAATCATCCTGGGCTGGACTTGAAACTTGAAATCAAAAATTAGAGCAACACTGACACCGAGTGGACCATTGAACCTTTCAAGTCGCCTCCAGCGTTACCGTTTACAGTATCTTTCAATTTGCAGAAGCCTTAACATTTATTAAAATATGTTTTATGGTTCGAATTGGGGGAAAAAAAAAACGTTTTATTATTCGGCAAAAAATATATTTGCACGTTTCATGTTGCAACAGACAGCTCTTGTCTCAACGACGAATAACATAAAATAATATATATTTAAAAAAAACATGCACACAGACTATGCAACACATAGAGTGTGATTTTGACACCAGGGCTTGTTTAAAAAACTATAAAATATAATTTATTTTTTAAAACAAAAAAAAAATGAAAGTACACAGTACCCAGGTGAAAAAGACCTAGTATTAAATGTATTAAAAATATACTTGAAATTCAAGTAGTATGTTTATAATACATTTGTATTCCCAACATGCTTATTTGAAGTGCAATAAAAATATATTGAATTGCATTTTAATATATTTCTAAAAAGTATACTAGAAGTACTTTTGTATTAAATATATGCTTAGTTATACTTCTAAATGGAAAAGACAGCTCTGCCATAGCATTTCAGTCTTTTTTTATTTATGTTTTTTTAATAATGTATTAAAATGTACTTGAGTATGTTTGTAGCAACAAAAATATACTATAAACATACTTGTATTTCAAGTGCATTTTTAATACATTTAATAGTATGTTTTGTTTTTCACCAGTTTATATTAATAGTATGTCTTGTTTTTCACCAGTTTATATGCTGCTGTCCTTTTTTAGTGTACTTTATGGATATTTGTAATGTACACAACAATATATAATACATTAAAGTTTTCTAGATATCAAAGTGTGTATGTGTGTGTATATACTGAAAAAGCAGCTTTATAATATACTAGTAGTGTAATGCTAATGCATTTCCAATGAGCTGAAATACAATTGAAATGTACTTGAAGTACATTAAAACGATGCTTCAAATATACTCTAACTGTAGTTCATGAAGTATTAAAAGGACATTTTAAATGTATTTTAAGAAATACACTTAAATTGCACTAAATATACTTAAAGCGGTTCCAATTTAACACAATTTCAATATATTAAATAGATTACAAATAGATCAAAATTTTAACAAACATATCTTGAAATACGCTTAATATACTTAAAGTTGTTTCAAAATAATACATTTAATATGCACTTAGTATAGTATAATTTAAATATAGTAAGTATGTCTGAAAAAGCACATCTTAAAGTCCAATTTGTGAAAAGCTGTGCAAACCGCCATACTAATTATTGACATTGATATAAATACCAACATAAATACCAAATAAAATCCTCTAAAATACTTACGAAAGCCTAAGGAAATTAAAAATTATCCTTACCTCTCCAGAATCTCTCCTCCTGCGATCTGGGATCACTAGAGTATTTCCATTACTGCCCGGGACTATAGTAGAGCCGATATACAGTTTCAAAGTCGAAGCTTTTAAGCGCATTTATATGTCCGTTGTCTGAATTTACATTAAGGAAAGACGACATATGACTTTTTGCTCCATCTTCCCTAATTATTTGATAGGTTATTGCAGCATTTTCATTCAGGTCTTTGTCGAAGGCGCTAACAGAGTATATGGAGGCTCCTGGTGGGTTATTTTCCATCAAGTAAAGTTCTAACGGATTGTGAAGGAATTCTGGAGCGTTATCGTTCACGTCTGATATCTGCACTTTCAATGTTTTGACTGAGGAAAGAGGGGGCTGACCAGTATCTCTGGCTGTTATTGTGACATCATATTGTGACACTGCTTCTCTATCTAACTTAGCATTCGTCACAAGAGAGTACATATTTTCTTTAAATGACGACTTCAGTTCAAAAGGCACATTGTCAGATATTTTACAAACAACTTTGCCATTGACGCCCGAATCTTTATCAGTAATACTAACAAGTGAAATAACTGTTCCTGGTTTTGAATCTTCGGGAACTACATCAGACAGTGAGGTAACTTCTATCTCTGGTCCATTATCATTTTCGTCAGTCACTTTAATGATAATTCGACAGTTGCTTGTCTTCGGTGGTTGGCCTTTATCTGACGCCATAACACCGACTCTATAAACATTATTTTTCTCAAAATCCAAATCACCTTTTACCCTAATCTCACCTGTTTTGTCCAAATCAAAGGTGTCGTAAACATGTTTTTCAATATTTTTCAGGAATGCATAAACTATTTCTCCATTCTGACCTTCATCTAAATCAGTGGCGTTCAATTTAATGACAAGAGTACCAACAGGAGCATTTTCTTGCAATGTGACAGAATAAAACTCTTGGCTGAATTTTGGCCTGTTATCATTATCATCCAGCACCGTGACATTAATAATGATACTCCCTGATCTTGGTGGATTCCCACCATCAACAGCAGTCAGTATTAGACTGTGAGTGACCTGATGCTCCCTGTCAAGCAATTTACGTAATTTCAAGACAGGGACCTTTTTCTCTCCCCCATTTTCGCGAAGCTCAAGTTCAAAATACTCGGTTTGGCTCAATTTATAAAAACGAACAGAATTTATGCCTGAATCAGGGTCCTTTGCTTCCTGCAATTGAAAGTCCTCACCAGGTAGGGTTGATTCTGCGATTTCTAACACGACGTCTTTATAAGCAAAATTGGGTGCATGGTCATTTACATCGGTAACTTCCATTTCTACATAATGAATTTCAAGAGGATTTTCAACAACAGTTTTCAGACTTATCAAGCAAGCAACATTTTCAACGCACAGCGCCTCTCTGTCGATATGCTGTTCCACATACAAGATGCCATTGTTCTGATTTACCTGAAAAAGGCCCTCATTTGATCCAGAAACAATACGAAAACGTCTGTCCACCAATGTACTGACATCAAGACCCAAATCCTTTGCAATATTTCCCACAACATATCCTTCTTTTACCTCCTCTGGAATAGTGTATCTTATCTGCGCTGAAACCCGCTGTCCGAAACACGGTAGCAAGAAGAAACACAGAGAAATCCACCAGTACTCCCATCTGCGCCTTTGTTTCCCAGCATCCATGCTGAAAACCGTCGTCTGAGGAACAAGTGTAAACTGATTCTCCTCACAGTTACCGCATGAATTTTTTTAAAATGATTCGGGGTCGAACATTAAGACATATTTTGCTCGAAAATCACGGAACTAACTCTTGTATGCATATCCTCCGACTTAAAAAGCAGTCAGTGCGCTCTAGCTTGGGTTAGTGTGATGCAAACTAGATCCATCATGAGGTCCACTACAGCATGTCAAGACTTTAAATATAATTCTATGCACTTAAACTATAATATATTTGATCTTTGTATGATGCATACGGAGAGCAAATATTCGATCCATATACAGATATGGCTTTTTAAATAAACATCAATATATAGCACATAGGCTATGCCTGTTTGACATTTAGCTACAACATATATAGCCTGATGAACATAAACCGCAAAACCTTACAATCCAAAATGTCACAGCAAATTTCAGTACCACTGACATATTTCCGCGCGAGAAGTAGCAAGCAAGTCGTATCATTGCTAATTCAAAATAAAAATACAGTTTATTACATTTTTTTATACGTCTCCATACTGCTATGAACTCATGAACTAATTAATTTTGTCACCTATAAGAAAAACTTTTGATACGTTCTTCCATAAAATTTAAAATGGTGACACAAAATAAATTAGTTCACGAAATACACAGTCGTGAGCCGAAAAAAAAAACTATATTTTTGTATAAGAACAAATTAGGCAAATGATGATAATACCGTATAATGTGATGCAATTTTTTTCCTATAAGAGCGAATCCATGCCATTTGTCACTTGAGCCTCACGCATAAATGTCGCAGAGAGATGGTAAATAAACAGGGCAGATCTTACAAAGCATTATAGAAAATCATTTTTAAAAAACACAGATTAGCTCTCCACCACCTCTACAGTGTAGGCTATCACTAAAGTATTTCCATCGATGTCCGAGACAAATTCATGTAAAGAAATCGCCACCTAAATAGTTCCAATAGTTATGCTTGGTCCAACTAACATATAGGCTACCATTTGCTGTGACACAGCGTCCTACTGAAACAAATAAAGATAATTCTTAATATTGCATTAATGATTAGAAGAGAAAATTGTTTTATTAGACAATATACAGCAGATTCGCACAGCAAAAGACAATACCTGTCACAAATCTACCTTAAAAACAGCCCAAACAACGTCATATACAAAAGACAAATTTAAATCAAACAGTGCAACAATCATGAATAAGCCATTTGCTTACCTCTCCAGAATCTCTCCTCCTGCGATCTGGGATCACTAGAGTATTTCCATTACTGCCCGGGACTATAGTAGAGCCGATACTCATTCTGGGTCCAACTAACATGTACCGTTTGTCTCCAGATCTGTACTGGATGCTGTGACACATAGTCCCGTCGTAATTTGTGTCCTGTAAATACTTGGACGAATAGTCTGTCGATTTAGAGCACTGCATTACAATCAACACGATGATGCTGATGACAAAAAGCACTGAAACCGAGCCCAAAGTGATGATCAAATAAAATGTCACGTTGTTTTCCTCCTCATCTTTTACTACGTTTTTCACATCAGAAGCTGCAAAAGCCTCTTTGGGCTCCACAACTTTGACAATCACAGTCGCTGTTGCTGAGAGTGAAACGTTCCCATTGTCTTTGACCAGTATGAGCAGTTTATGCTGGGCCTCGTCTGTTTCTGTGAATGAGCGAAGGGTCCTTATCTGTCCTGTATAGCGGTCCAAACTAAAGAGACTGTGGTCACTAACTTCCTGCAGTGAAAATAATAACCAGCCGTTGTATCCTATATCTGCGTCATAGGCTCTGACTTTAGTCACCAAATGACCTGCGTTCACATTACGGGGAATCTCTTCCACACCCTCAGCAGAACCGTTAGCGCTGACTGGATATAAGATCACTGGAACGTTGTCGTTCTGATCCAGAATAAACACGTTCACTGTCACGTTACTGCTCAGAGATGGAGTTCCAGAATCTGTAGCGAGCGCGTAAAATTTAAATGTTTTGACAGTCTCAAAATCAAAACTTTTAAGTGCATAAATTGCGCCTGTCTCAGAGTTAATATTTAGAAAAGATGTCATGTCACTTTGTGTCCCATTTCCTTTAATAATCTGATATGAAATCACAGAGTTTTCATTTAGGTCTTTGTCAAAAGCACTCAGCGTGAGAATGGGCGCGCCTGCAGCGTTGTTTTCAATCATATATAATTCGATGGGATTTAGGCTAAATTCAGGCGGGTTGTCATTAACATCTGACACCTGCACGCTCAGAGTTTTATATGAGGACAGTGGAGGCTGACCTAAGTCGCTCGCTGTTATTGTAATGTCATAATGTGATACAGTTTCACGGTCCAGGCTCCCTTTAGTCACTAACGAGTACATGTTTTCTTGAACTGATTGTTTTAATTCAAATGGAACGTTTTCTGAGAGAGAGCACATAACTTTTCCATTAACACCAGTGTCTCTGTCAGTAACACTAATGAGTGAGATTACAGTACCAGGCTTGGAGTCTTCAGACACCATTTTCGACAGTGACGTTACATCGATCTCGGGTGTGTTATCGTTTGTGTCTAAAATTTTGATGACAACTCTACAATCTGTCTTCATAGGGGGCTGGCCATTATCAGATGCTTGAACATCAAGTTTGTAAATGGATTTCTCCTCAAAGTCCACATCGCCTTTCACACGAATGTCACCAGTCAGTTTATCCAAACTAAATATTTCATACACCTTTGGGTTCTGATCGCTGCCAAACGCGTAGGTAACCTCTCCATTTGAGCCATGATCTGCATCGCTTGCTTGAACCTGTATGACTAGCGTTCCAACTTGTATATTTTCTTTTAAATTTGTTGAATATATATCTTGGCTAAAAACAGGTCTGTTGTCATTGTTATCAAGAACAACAACTGTAACATTTAGAGTTCCTGATCTTTGTGGATTTCCTCCATCAACTGCTGTTAAAACTAAATGATATTCATCATTGATCTCGCGGTCAAGAGATTTTTGTAAAATTAAAAATGGCAGTTTATCTTCTCCCTGATCTCTGACTTCCAGATCAAAGTGTTCATTTTGGGTTAATTTGTATGTACGAATAGAATTTACCCCTGCATCCGGGTCACGCGCGGCTTTAAGCTGAAAACGCATCCCTCGAGCAGTCGATTCTGAAATCTCCAATCGTTTCTCGTGTTCACTAAAACTGGGCGAATTATCATTTACATCGGTCACCTCCACTGCAATATAATGTATTTCAAGAGGATTTTCTACAACAATCTTCAGATTTATGAAGCATGCGCTATGACTATCACACAGCGCCTCTCGGTCGATTTTCTTATGAACGCGCAAGACGCCGTTCTGATTTACCTGAAAAAAATCATCATTGGATCCAGATACAATACGGAACCGCCTGTCCGCCAAAGCACCGACATCTAGGCCCAAATCCTTCGCAATATCTCCAACGACGGTTCCATCTTTTACCTCCTCTGGAATAGAGTATCTTATCTGAGCTGAAACATGTTCTCCGAAGTACAGCAGAAAAGAGAAACACAAAGCGATCCACCAGCACTCCCATCTGCTCCTTTGTCCTTCGTGTTCCATCATGATTCAAACGCTTATCAAAAAACTAATTATTGTTGCTCGTGTGATTTCTTCATGAGCAAAATCTCGGAGATGTTATAAAATGTCAATTTTTTTTCAAACAATTCACCATAATCCACGCAGACAACAATGTATCCAAGGTTTCAACAACAACAGAATTGCGCTTTTTGTGGAAAGGAACAACGGTGTGACGTCTCGAAGAGGAGGGACAGTATTTAAAAAGGTTTCCTTGTATAATACTGACACCATGAGGCTAACTGAGAATATAGCCGATAATAAAGAAATTCAGGGATAGGAAACATTAGAATCCACCTGCCAATGCATGTATCAGACTTCACTCGCTTTAAAGCAAATCATAATACAACTAACCAGGGCTGCGTTTCTCAAAAGCATCGTAAGCCTAAGTAGATCGTAAAAGCCCGAAGCCCGAATTTTAGTATAACGGTCTGTTTCCCAAAAGCATCGTAACTTAATTTGCACTTGAAAATCATCCCAGATCCACGAGTGCTCTGGAGTAATCGTAAAGCCCGAAGTGCATCTTAAGACAAATGTTATGAGGTCACCTGCAGGACAACCAGCATCAGTTTCACCTGCCATCTCCCAGCACCAACCATCTCCTAGTACTCCAAACAACCCTCTCAGGCCTCAGCCTCCATCTTCAGTTGTCCAGACCGCAGCCACAACACCTCAGCAGTTTGAGAATGTCTGTGGCTGTAGCCTAGTCAGTGCAGCTGGAGATATATCTTAAAAAAGACATTAGACAATGTCTTAAAGAGGCCAATAAGAGGAACAACAATTTTCAACAGCAGCTCATTGACTCAAATCAATAAAACCATGTTGATTCAACGTTTTTGATGGCCATGTGTTTGTTGAACCACCCAAGGCCTAAGACCCTATGAAATACTATAAGAATACGTATGAGTTCTTCCAAGTGTTTCTGAAGTGAATGACTAATGGTTGATATATTTTCAAACATAAACATATAAGTTTAGATATTATTAATATATAAAGTGTATACATTAAAGGTGATAGTAGCACAAATATTTGTACTTGATCTAGCCAATACGTTTCTACAGGTACAGACAAAAAAAGTGTATTGCAGACATGTTTTATCAGCACTGTTCTATGTATACATATTTATGTATATATATATTTTTTTCATTTTCTTTCCTTTTCGTTTTAATTATTTCATTTTTAAATTCATTTAAACAATCAACGAGTAATAAAGAGAAGTACAATCAAAATCTTATATGCACTTGAATAAAGTTAAAGGTGCAATCTGCCGATTGTCCTGCACGTGACCTCATAACTCTGTCTTCTTACGACGCACTTCGGACTTTACGATTACTCCAGAGCACTCGTAGATGAGCGTGTATTAAGAAATGCATTAAGAAAGTGATATCAAAAGGACCAAATCCATACACGCAAGAAGACGAGCTCAGAACGCAATGCGTTAAATTGCATGTTGTGTTCATATACTGGCCATCTGCTTGCCTTGTAGTACATTATATTATTTAACTGTATATC